AATTTGGTCTATAATAAAGTCATTTTGGCCTTCGAGGTTGATTTAATCATTTATAAGCTTAAGGGTATTTAGTTATTTCAGTGTTTAAACTTTCTTTGGGTCATTTTACACTTTAGGCCATACCAATATAGATCTGAAATTTAAATCGATGATTTCAAGGTTTAAATGTATCAAGATATGAGTTCTCAGGCCGTCTCCATTATCATAGCCATCCATTGCTTAACACTTAAGTGTATCATCATCATTTCATTAAAATCTGTCAGTAGCATACTCTCGATAAATTAGGTTTGATTTAATTCTAGTTCCTTTAGCGCTTTATGGTATTTTGTTCTTTTGATCATTGGAAGTTATTACATTTATTACAAAGCTCGATGACATTTCTGTAATTCCTTTCAATTCAATCTTATGTAGTTTTTCTGATAATTGATCCAATATGTACTTTCGAAGTTATTTTTTTACCAATCGAGGAAGTCTTAGTCATTTTCCATTACAAGGACATCTTCATAATTTTATTCTATGGTTCTCTTTTCGGTAATTTTATATCCAAATAACCTCGGTATTTAACCTTTAATAAAATTTATCAAATTTCACGGATCTTAAAATCAAATCATTTATTATAAAATCACTGAACTTATTATTATTATTTCCGATTGATCTTCTATTTTTTTAAACGAGCCATATAAGTCATATTTGGTACCGACTTTTTATAATATTCGGATCGAGTTTAGGAAGTGATTGCTACATACATGTGACCAATTATACTCATCCATACAAAAATCAATACCAAAATGTTCCATAAAGCATGAAATAGGTAGTAATGTATTACCTCGATTTTTATATCATATCGATCGACCATTTAAACTCCATTCGATCTCCCTCGAACTTTAATTCAATGTCTAATAATTCATCGGATACATAGCAAATAAATTTATGTCAGAAATTGAACTTAATCAAAAAACCAACTTGAATCCAAAGATAAATCATTGAAAAACGGCTTACCAGGTGTGAATTTTAAAAAAAATGAATTTGAATTCTGACTCAGAACGTCGATAAACATAAAATATGTCATTTTCGAAAAAAAATAATTTTTTTATCAAATCCAAAGTCAACAATCTGACCGATTAAAGTCAACGGTCAGAACAATCAACAGGTTGACTCGGTCAAAATCAATGAATTGACTCAACGACTGGGTCGGGTAGACGGGTCGGGTTAACCAAACCCGGTTCTGGAAATTTCCCCATACAAAAATAAGCTCCACGTGCACCGCCGGTGACGGAGGCAGTTCCGGGCTGCCGATTTCTCCTACAACCACGCCGGTGATCGGAGAAAACCGATGACGATGGGCGATGAACCCGATCGAGTTTTGATTGCACTGAGTTGTGGAGTCCAACCACGCCGGCGATGAGGCGAGCTGACGCCTGAGGCGGTTGAAAAATGCAAAAATTTGAATGGTTGCTTGGGTTTTTCCGAAGAACTTCAAACGCTCTTTCACGACGATCAACGACAACTTTCGACAATCGATTAGCAGGGGTTTGCTCGCGAGGTGATGTCGGAACTGGTGGTGGTGTCGATGCATGCCACCGCTGGCTGGAGAAGAGTGACCGAAGATGGCCAGTGGGGGTGAAATACTGGTTTGAAGCTTTTGGGTGTTTCACGATCAGGGGATTTGCCTTTAGCAAAAAGGGTTAAACATCAGAAATTTTAAAAACTACTCTAACATATTCAAGATCTTATAAACTGATCTTAAAATTTCCAACACTTTCTAAAACTGTCTATAAAGTTTGAAAACTTATAATTTAACCCCTAAATTAGAGTGTGAAAATAAATATCCTTATCAAACTAGAACACATGGAACCAAGGTTTGGGCGATCTTAGATCACATAATCCAATTTCCATAAACTCTCACCATGTTTTTGCTGCTAAAGATCGAACTACAGTGTTGTGTTTCCTGTTGTTTGCATGGCATATTCACCATTTTTTGTCCTAAAATCACCACAGTCATACTTGTTACAACAGTCATACCCTGCACACCAACCGCCTGCTTCAACACGCCCACCATGCCCTGCAATCAACTACTGCTGCCACCCCTTACTGCCCATACCTCCCCATTCTCAGTAGGTCACCAAACAAAAGATAATGAAATGAAATTTTATATTATGTATTAGGTTATAAAACCCTAAAAACATATTGTAAAGGGGTATCTCGAGAAAAAAAATCAGTCAGCAAGGAAATAGGGACCGAAAAGAAAAACAGTGTAAAAAGAATATTTTTTGGAATCAAAAAGAAAATTTTGGTTTTGAAGGTATATTGTTTTTCCTCTTTATTTTCCTAGCATGCATGTATTTTAATCAAGAGAAAATAAAAAGAAAAAAAGAGGGAATGAGTCGGCCTACCATGCCCTGTCGGGGTTGCTTCCGCCGGTGAGGAGCTTTAAGGGTCGGTCATGGAGCGATTTAGGTCGTGGTGCCACCACATGTGGTGGCCGGCATTGAAAGCCATGGCTCCTTGGAGATGGTTGCCACGTGCGTGAAGGAGAGAGCGAAGAGAGAAAGAAACCGGGGGTTAGTTTAGTTCAAGCATTTCAGTCACTGGTTTGGGCTGTTTTGATATTTAGTTCGAATTTCTGGATCTAATGTGATATTTCCCCTTATTTATTTTGTTTAGAAAATGCTCAGGTTTAAAATATGGTAAATATCTTGTTAGTCCCTCATAGTTAGCCACATATTTATATTTTGGTCACTTATTTCATCTTTTATCTATTAGTTTCGATTTAAGCTACATGTTTTGTTTTGTTTTATTTCGGTCACTTGTCATGTTGTTATTTATTTATTTCGAATTGTTCTGCTGGTTTTTATTATTTTTATTTTTATTTAGGTCACTATTTTAGTCATAATTTGCTTGCTTTTCTTATTTCGTTTTTATCCATATTTCTTTTTTACTTATTTATTGTATTTTGAAAGTAACATGCAAATTTCATTTTATTTTAATTTAATCATCTGTTTGCACTGTTATTTATTAGAGATTGACTATTGTTTCTTTGTTTTGTTTCATTTTAGTCACTAATCAGTGTTGTTTTCTTTATTTATTCATAAATTTGGTGATATATTTTTAATTTATACATTTTAGTCACTGTTAATTTCTGATTTGGTATTGCTTTTCTTAATTGTTGCATTTTGGTCCTTGTATTTTAATATATGTGTATGTTTATTTTAATATATGTGTATGTTTCATATTCTTATGTATTTTATGTGTATGGACCATATGTATGTATGTATTTAAAATATCTTTATATTTAATAGTAATTTTTAACATTTACTCGTATATTTTCAAGTTTCTTATTTTGAGCTTAGTATTTTATATCTTTCGATTTTGGCCCTAGTTAGCTCGTTATTGTATTTGCTAATATTTATGATTCATGCTTCAATTTTTGGTTGACTTATATTTTGGTCCTTTGTTAGTTGTAGATATTTATTTATCTTCTTCAAGTTGAACATGTTTTTTCCTATCGATTTAGTCATAAGATAAATTTTTATTTGATTATTCTATTTATTTGATGTTCAATAGCGCATTTATATTTGAATTCGATTTAATCCATGTTTGACAATTTTCTTTCTTTTAATTTTGAATTGCTATTTTTGCATATGTTTTTTAATATATTTTGGCCCTTATAAATGTGCATATATTGTCTTTTTTTAGAACTAATGTTTTTTTTGAAAATTTTTACAAAATATTCATTTTATTTTTCAATATTTTCAGTTTTTCTTGCTTTAATATTTTCAAGAACACTCTATCGTAGAATGGGCGTAAAAAGCACCTCTTGATCGAAGTAGTGTGATTTGATACGGCATTCAAACGCAAAGTGAACTTGAAATAAGTCGAGTTTATTTTTATAAAATAATGATAATTAATTCGTTTTTATTCAAATGATGCAATTCATGTTTTTTAATAGTAAATTATTTTATGCAATTACTGATATTCAATTTATATTCGATTTAAGTTTTTTGATAACGTTAGGGAGGGAACATTTCTCGTATAAAGGAGAAATAAATGTGATAGCCTTCCCATTAGAGGATGTGCAAATCTCGTGATTTCTTCTCAAATTAAGAAATGTTCCCTAATAATTAATTCGAAGTAAATTATTTGATGTTCAATTAAAGGAACATAATTTAAATATTGATACAAATTCACAATTTACACCATTTACGACGTTGTGTAAGCGACTAAGTATCAATTTTTTGGCTCTGTGGGGTGTTAATCGTTTTTCCACGTGTAATCGACTTTTGAACCCTTAAAATGAATTTTTGGATAATACATATCAATTTTTGTCTTAATAATATTTTTTCTTAAAATTATTTTAAAATACGTTTTTAGGTATTTAATCCACCTAACTCAAAGTCGAGGACGACTCTAATTTAAAATTTTTAAATTAATTATTTTTAAAACTTAATTGTTTAAAAAAATGATTATGACAGATGAGTTTGCTCCAACTTGACTCTCCATATATCCCCTAAAGATGACTAGCAACAAACCTTTACACTTCATTTCGTTATTCAACATTCCTGACTCTCGTCAATAACAACCATTTCCATTCGATCCAGTTTGCAATGGTCTGAGGATCCCATTAGCTTCATCCAAAGAAATCTGACAATCATTTTCTAGGATTCAAGCCTAACAGTTTTCTTCCTACTTTCTAAATGTTGTTTGTGTGATGCTTCTGACAATTGATTTCTCTTTCTTCATTCATGTTCTCAATTATGTCCAGTAGCATGCATAATCATACTCCAACTTCTCTACAAGTTGCCACCGGTATTAATTACCGATTCAACTTTTAGCATCCAATGCGAATAATGTTGAAGTTGGATTCACCACCGTAAGGAAGACGTACAGTTTCCTCGGACCCACTAAGATTCTTTTTGATAATTGTTTCAATCTCTAAATTTTGCATTATTTAAGTCGAACGAATTCTATTTTTCTTAAGATTTAACCCTTGTTGGCTTTAATAAAATGTTCTAAAGTCGTAATCAGTTACCTTGAAACAACTCTACCACTCCTCTTCCAACTTCCCGAATTCATTTCCTCGCCAAAAGTATCCAACTCCACCGCCCACCGTCGCCCAAGGGAAAACTGCCTATAATAAATGGATTCAATTCTCCATGCTCAATCCCTATCCCTCACTCGCCTACGCGCCACTTCGACCTTCACTCGCCACATGCCTTGCCAGCTCATCTTCCGCCCCGTCCACCGCCTCCTCTTTCCGTTATCGCCCCTCAACGCTAGCTTTGGTTCTCGCAGGTCCGTTGTTGCTGCTAGCGGCACTCTCACCGCCAATTCCGTTTTGGTTCGTTATCTTATCCGTTCAATTTTTATCTTTATATTTCTTCTTAATCTTGGGATGCATATTTTGTTAACTTAGCTGAAATTAACACTAATTTCATAACTGATTTAGAGTCCAAACATCTTAGAAAGAGTTTTCTATTTGGACAGATTTAGACTCTAAACATCTCAAAAAGAGTTCTCTTTTAGATGCGTGGAATTCGGCTGTTTAATTCAATTTTATTTCATAATTATTGGCTTGTTTATGTTTCGATCTTTCTACTTTCTGTTATTTACTGCAAAAAAGTGGTAAGCTTCAGCGAATTAGGATGCAGAGATAGTAATTACCTCTTCGAGCATCTCTTTCATTAATTTTATTTTATTGTTGTTATTTGTATGTAACTGTGTGCGTGTATATATATGCACGCGTCTCAACTATAATAGTGCAAAATCAAAGCTTCAAATAAATACGATTACATCTAATATATATATTATCTGTTTGTATTATTCATACTCAATCAATTTAATCACGACATACTTGATTCACGAGGAAAATTGCTGTACGTTGGTAATTTGGAAGATGGAACTTATATGGTTTTCAAGCTTTACTCCTGTTATTTGCATGAATTGTTCTTCTTTGTTTTGTTTGTATGCAGCCAAGAGGTGGAGTATATACAGTTGGAGATTTTATGACAAGAAAAGAGGATTTGCATTTGGTAAATCCAACAACAACTGTTGATGAAGGTGCTTGCTTGCTTAGCTTATGTCTTATAATATGGTGTCTGCATTTGTGTGCGTGTTTAAAAAAGAAGGCTCTCTTGTGCCAACACCAATAGCACTGGAAGCTCTTGTTGAACACAGAAGCACCGATTTTCCTGTTATTGATGATGATTGAAAACTGGTATGTTATCTTTCCCCTAATTTCTGTCATGAGATTATAACTATTCATTTGCTGACTTTTAGTACCAAATCTCTGAACTCTTTACTGTCATGATTTCTTGAAATTTCAAGAAAAGTGGAGTCCTAGCATTTGTATTCTCCAACTAGACCAATGTCCCTAAACTGAGTGTTGGATTAGATGTTGGACCTTGCCTATGAAGGGTAGAATGCTATTCTTCAAGACTTCAATTAATAGTCAAGGTTCACTAAGTTTAAGCTAATATCTTAGTGAAATACTGGCCAATTGAGATTGTTGGCATAGACAGTACGTTCCTTTCTCCATTCTAAGACTTTAAGGTGAGGTGGATGAAGGAAAGATTGTTCTGGCCATATGATGACTTTCTTGGCTTGTGCGCATCTCCAATATAGATAAACTCATTATTGCTTCTACATTCCATTTCAAATTGGTTGTTGCAACTGTGTGATCTCAATTCTGTAATGTAAATACTATACGTAATGATGTAAACAATTCTCTTTGTAGGATGCGGGGTATAAGCCAAAATTGGAAATGTTGAATACAAACAAAAAAAGTCTCAAGTGTCAAGAGGTTAGATGCTTCAGCTTTGTTTATTTGATTTGTGAAACTGCCTTATCTTTTTTGGCCTCGATAATATTAGCTTTTACTTCTGGAATAATGAGATCATTTTTTTGCTGCTTCAGGTTGGACTTGTTTCTGATTATGACTTGCTAGCATTGGACTCCATATCTGGTAAATTATAGTCATATGATCAATTTTACCGTGCTTTTCCCTTTCTTATTCTTGTTAGTTTTCATTTCATTATTAACGTATGTATGTACAACTCTCCTAGAAGCAAACCCTTTCTTTTTTTACTTCTGAAATCTTTATATTAGTAACAATGGCAGTCTAATTTGAGCATTAGATTTTTATCACTTCCCCTTGGAGTAGGTATTGATTGATATCAAATCAGTTTCTTTAATCTGATTAAGTAGCACTGTGTTCCTTTGTGGAAATTGTCCATGAATCCGGGGTATGTTTTTGTGATGATAGTCAATTCTTATGAGTTGTTCTTTCAACCAGGGCAGTGGACTGAGAACGACTTGTTTCCTGAAGTTGATAACACTTGGAAAGTAAGCAAGAATTGTCTCTCTTCTTGATGTAGATGCATCTTGCTTTATCAGAACTCGTTGCCTTTCACATAGTTTTATATTATTCATTTTCAGGACTTTTAAAACATTTAACTCCTGTTAATTATATCTTATATCGGGAATAACCGTTTTCTCTCTCGATAGCAGGTTTATTGATTTTGGGTTTTAGGGTTTCTTTCCCTGGTTTTCATCGTTCGAGTATGTTGAAATTTGCTGAGATGGATTCTGTTTGACTGCTCTTCGCCATAGATTGGAGGAGTTTGTTTTCTGGCGTTGAGGAGCAATCGCTGGACTTCTTCCCTCCGGAGTGCTGTGAGGGTGCTACGACGGTAGTTCCTCCGGTTGATGTTTTTGAGGAGGGGTTTTTGGAGTGGCAATTCTCTCTGGTGGGGCAAGTTATTGGGTCGGCTCCCAATTTTGGTTCCTTGCAGAAACTGGTGGAGATTATGTGGGGGAAATCGATGGTCAAGGTTAGTATAGCTGGTTCTAACCTTTATGTTTTCTCATTTGTTAATGGGGCTAGTCGTGACTGGGTGTTTGAGAACGGCCCCTGGCATATTCAGCACAAGCCTTTGGTGTTGAGAAAGTGGGAGCCTAATCTAAAGCGGCTTGATTTTAATCTGGAAAGGATGCCAATTTGAGTTCAGCTCTTCAATGTTCCTCTTGAGCTGTTCTCCAAGAAAGGGCTGAGTTATATAGCTAGTGCCATGGGTGTTCCATTGTACATGGACTCAATCACGACTGCTAAGGAACGACTAGAATTTGTTGAGGCTTGCGTTGAGGTTGGTGCTAGGTTGCCTCGTTCGGTTGCAATCAGGTTGCGAGATGGGTCTATTTGTACTGTGAAGGTGATCATTCCTTGGTTCCCTTCGTGCTGCTCTAAATGTAGAATATTTGGTCACTCGGATAAGATGTGCACTGCTGGTGGAGTTGAAGGAAGGAAGGAGTGGAGAGTTAAGGATAAGGCTCCTGAAATGTCAGACAAATTGATTGTGTTGGGTAATTCAGATCAAGGGAGAGTAAAAAGTAGTGTGGGACTACCTTTGGTTGAAACTGGTCTGCAAGCTATTATAGAAAAGGAGAATGTTGGGCAGAATCATGCTGCTGATAATGATATTACTGGGTTAGTTTTTGAGAATAATGAGAAGGCAGGGGAGTTGTCTCTTAAGAAACAATTAACTATTGTTGTAGTTAATGATATGTCTAGGCCAGTTCAAGTTGTTAATGAAAAGACTGGGGAGCTTTCTATGGAGGTTCAATCAGTTGTTGGGAAAACAATGACTAATATGATATTAAGCAAGGCTGCTGGCTGTTTAGTACAAGGGAATTCTAAGGGGGATGATGCTTTGCCTCTTGATCCTGCATCTAATCGAAGAGGCAGGGGAAAAAAGGTGAAAAGAATAAGGGACATGTTGGCTCTTCTAACAAATTCAAAGTTCTGGGTTCTTTGTTGGAAGAGGTCGAGGGAGTGGGTAGGAGGCCTAGATTAGCTTCCCAAGGTGTTGTTAACATCCTCCAGGAAATGAAAGTAAAGAAGAAAGATAATCTTGATAAGACAAAGAAGCTTGGTGAAGTGGGAAGCACAAACATTATCTCTGTCTCATGACTGTGGTCTTTTGGAATGTTAGGGGATTTAATCATCCCAAAAAATAGAAAAGTATTATGAGTCGTATTGATAATATGCAAGCTGAGGTTATATGTTTGCTTGAAACTCGGGTTAAAGAGAATAAGGCCATTGATGTTATTGCACAGTTTGTTGGAGAATGGAATTATTGTTGCCCGGAAAATGGCAGAATATGGGTTATATGGAAGAAGTACTTGTAGTTTTCAGTTCTGAAAGTGGATGATCAGTCTATTTCCATTTAGGGTTGTTAGGGGGGTAAGAGTGTTATTATTTCTGTTGTGTATGACAGTAATAGTGGTGCTTCTAGAAAAAAGCTCTGGAGTCAACTTTCTGATGTTAGTATACTGACTGACAACAATGCTTGGATGGTTGGGGGTGACTTTAATGTCACTGCTGATTCTATGGAGAGTTCTAACAATGAGAATGGACATTTCACTCCAGAAATGGAAGACTTGAGAAACTGTTTGACAAGTCTGGGCTTAGTGGATCACCCCTACTTTGGGCCTGTGTTCACTTGGTCAAATAAACATGAAGAGGGTTTCATAGCTAGGAAACTTGATAGAGTTATGGTCAATGATCAATGGTGTGAGGCGTTTCCAAACTCTCATGTGGAGTTTCAAGCCCCTGGAGTTTCTGATCACTGCATGGCAGTAGCTTGGCACACTCATGAGAGTCTTGCTTCAAGACCAAAGCCCTTTAAATTTTTTAATTTCTGGGCTTTGCACCTTGATTTTAAGGAGGTGGTGGGGCTATCTTGGACTGAGGCTGCACTGGGGGATCCTATGCAAGCCCTGTTTTATAAATTGAAGAGATTGAAGCCTATATTGAAAGCCCTTAATAAAAGATGCTACTCTGACGTTTCTAAGAAAGTTGCTGATAAAAGGGAACAATTAGAGAAGCAGCAGATTGTGATTCTTACTGGAGGGAATTCAAGTGATATGGAAAATGAAAGGAAACTAGGCCAAGAGCTGAATGAATTAGAAAAGGCTGAAAGATTATTCTATCAGCAGAAGGCTAAGGTTGACTGGCTACTTGATGGGGATCAGTGCACTAAGTTCTTCCATTCTCAGGTAGCAGTCAAAAGGAAGAAAAACACTATTAGAGTCCTTGTTGATGATGATGGGAATAAATTGGAAACTTTTGATTCCATGGCTGCAGAATTGGTGAACTATTTTACAAGGCAGATTGGTTCTATTGATGACAATGTGTAGGGGTGTTCTGATGAATTTTTGAAGGATTTGTTGGGGTACTCCTTTCCTGAAGGTGCTAGTGAAGACTTGACTAAATCTGTTACTAATGATGAGATTAAAATGGCTATCTGGAATCAAGGCAAGGATAAAGCCCCTGGCCCTGATGGTTACACTGCTGGTTTCTTTCAATCTGCTTGGGACATAGTTGGAGCTGATTTTATAGTTGTTGTTAGGTATTTTTTTAAAACCTCTAGATGTTGCCTGCTTTTAAATCTATTGTTGTTGCATTAGCTCCTAAGAAGCCTAACTCTTGTAAAGCAATGGACTTTAGACCCATATCTTGTTGCACTGTATTTTACAAGACTGTTACTAAAATATTGGTGAGTAGACTGGTCAAGTACCTTCCTGAGATGATTACTCTCAACCAGTCAGCCTTTGTGAGGGGAAGAAATATTGAAAGTAATACTCTCTTGGCTCAAGAGCTTGTTAGAGGGTATGGCAGGAGCTCTATTTCCCCCATATGTGCCATAAAAGCTGATTTACATAAAGCTTTTGACTCTTTGAGCTAGAAGTTTTTGCTTGCTGCTTTGAAGGGGTTGGGGCTACCTGACCAGTTTAGGAACTGGATTGTGGCATGTGTTATGGACTCTAGATTCTCTATTGTTTTGAATGGCAGTCTTGTGGGTTTCTTCAGAGGTAAAAGAGGAGTTAGGCAAAGGGACCCTCTTTCCCCTTACTTGTTTTTCATAGCTATGAACATCCTATCCGAATTGTTGAACACTGCTACCTTAGAAAAAATATTCCAGTTTCATCCTAAGTGCAAAAGAGTACATTTAACTCACTTATGTTTTGCAGACGATCTGCTTATTTTTTGCAAAGGTAGTTTGGACTCTATAGTAGGAGTTTAATGTGTATTGGATAGGTTCTATGAGATGTCTGGGATTAGGCTTAATGCCTCTAAGACTGAAGTTTTCATTGTTGGTGTGAATGGTAATCAAAGGAGTTTGATTCAAGAGATCACTGGATTTACTATAGGTTGCCTTCCAGTAAGATACTTGGGGGTTCCTCTTGTCCCCAGGAAGTTGATTGAGAAAGATTGTGCTAGTTTAGTGGAGAAAGTTAAAGCAAAGTTGGAGCTTTGTTCTAACAGATGGCTGAGTTATGTAGGTAGACTGTAGCTGGTGAAGGCTATTTTGTTCAGCATTGCCAACGTCTGGTGAAGGCAACTAATTTTGCCTGCTGCTGTTGTTAGGAGAGTGAACCAGCTTTGTGTCAGATTCTTTTGGAAAGGAGGGGATGTCCCAGCTAAGGGAGCTCGTGTGAGCTGGGAGTTTATCTGTACTCCTAAGTCTGAGGGGGGCTTGGTCTTAAGCATTTACAATGCTGGAACAAAGCATGTATTATGCTATTGGTAAAGGAATTGCTTATTGCTGAGGGATCTTTATGGGTTGCTTGGGGTGAGATCTTATGTTCTTAAGGGGGTGGACTTCTGGTCTATTGAGAGCAAGCCTTCTTTCAGTTGGAGTATGCGGAAGATCCTGAAAACCAGAGATGACTTACAACCTTTGTTCTTAGGTACTATGAATTGGGGCATGGTAAATGCTCGCTGGATATGGCAGGAGATTAGGGGGAGAAGTGTGAAGGTTGATTGGCATAAGATTATTTGGTTTCCAATGCACATACCAAAACACTCGCTAATTGCTTGGATGGCTATTTTAGATAGGCTGCCAACTACTGATAGACTTGCTCATTTGAGAATTGAGGTGAATGAAAAGTACAGATTGTGTGAAGTTGTGCCTGAGACTCGTAGTCATATTTTCTTTGAATGCTCGTTCTCGAAGGCTATTTGGGAGGGAATTGCACGACTGTGCAACGTTAACAGAGCTGTGGGGACTTGGGAGGAGGAGTTGAGCTGGGCAATTTCTCGATTTAAAGGAAAATCTTTCCCTGTGTTTATCCTTAGAGTTGCTTGGTGTGCTTACATTTACTGTGTTTGGGAGGAGAGGAATCATAGATAGATTAGGGGGATTAGTAGAGATATTGTAAATGTGATAAATTGTATTAAAAAGATAGTTAGAGTAAAAGCTGCTAGAATAGTGATTAAGAGCAGTGTGATTAATTGTAATCTTTGCCTTGCTTGGGGGATTGCTACCTCCTAGAAGGTTTGTTTTGGTCTGTTTTGTGGGATCTGTATTTGTTGTAGCAGTGTGTTTTTGTCTACTGCTTCTTGGATAATAATATGAGCAATTTATCCAAAAAAATTATATCTTATATCTTTACGAGCACAGAGATTTTCACTACCTACAAATGAGCATTTCTAAATCTGCTTGCTTTATTTATTTGTTTTATAATGATGTGATTGTATTTTGAGAAAAGAATACAATAACTTTTTGCAAATGATGATATTTTTGTAAAAGAAAAAATAATGTACCTTTGTATTGGAAGGTAAGTGGAAACTTAGGCAAGTGCTCTGTCCTTCTAGTGATTAATAGCAATGCGGTGGAGCAAATTAGAGCTTTTCCATTTTGACAATACTTAAAACAACCGGATTGTAAACTTTGAAGGTCGCCTAACTTGTATCTATTTGAGTTTAACGCATTTGGCTCCAAAAGAAGTCATTTGTGTTTATATTTTAATTTTTACTGCTGGGTCCTCGATTTTGCAGACTTTCAATGATGTACAGAAGCTACTCAGCAAAACAAACGGCCAGGTGGTTGGCGATTTGATGACACCAGCTCCATTAGTTATACGTGAGATAACTGTCGTAACCGTCTTTCGGGTGGGTCTCCGGAATTGGGCTTCGACTTAAAAAATGTAGATTGTAGTCGCCACCGATCATTTATTTAAAACAAAATGGGTTGATCGGATACCTTATTTCTTACCTGATCTGCATCTTCCCAAAGATATGTCGGATTCGGGAGTCGGTTATAGTCAAGGAAGGGTTAACACCCTTGAACTGCCCTTCCGGTACTATATAATTTCCAGTTGTCTTTAGTTAAGAAAAACGTAACTTTAAATTAAAAGGTAAAACGACGATCGAAATTGCTTACCTTAGATCAGTTTGAAATCATCCTTAAAAAGTCAAGAAACGTATTAGATGGAATAAATGAACAAAGTAGAATAAATAAGAAATAAATAAAGAATAAAATAAGGTAAGAGAAAAAAAATGAAATAAACAAAATGTAGGCAAGTATAATAATAGTAAAGACATAAATACTTACATATGAAAGTAAAAAAAAATATATATATATATATATATAATGTATAAATAAAGGTAAAAACGAAAATAACAAAATAATAAAATAGAATAATATAAAATAAAATAATAATATAAAATAAAGTATAATGTATATATATATAAAGAACCAAAAATGTATAGAAATATATACATAGTACTTAAATAAGGAAATAACCAAACAAAACAATTAAAAAAATATATAAATTAATCATATATATATAAATAAGGTATAAGAAATATTCGTACATATATATATATATATATAATAGATAATGTAACATAATAATAATTAATAAGGAATGAATATGTGCATTAATAATAATAATAATAATAAAAATAATGCTAATAATATATATATATATATATATATATATAATTAAATATATTATAATATTTGGAAAAAGGAATTACAGGGAAAGAGACCAAATTGGGAGATAGACAAGTTGGGTGCCAAATTCTGAATAAAACAAACACGAGGAAGCTTGATTTGGGGTCAAATTAGGCTCTTAAAAGAGTTAAGGGGACGAAAAGGGTGATTTCTCCAAATTTATTAAACACGCGGACCCCTGAACAGGGTCGGGTCGAGACGCGGGTCGGATGAGCCAACTATAAAGGCCAACAAATTTTTTTAACTCTCATTTCTTCTCTTTTTCAAAACAAAAATCCCCCCTGCATATTTTCTCTCGGTTGTTCACCAAACCGAAGAACACACCGCCATGGGGTTCATAGGAACCCAGATTTCGGCGACTCCTCCGCCTCGCCGCCGTCGTGGATCCGCGGCGGTCGTCGTTCATCGGCGGCCAAACACGAAAAGGTAGGCTTTTTTCGAAAGCTCTTCTTGCCCTCGACTCAAATCTTAAACTGGTTTTTCGAAATAGGCCTCGGGGGAGGGTAGATCTGAGATCAAAGTCTCGATCTTTCCCCTAAAAGTTCATCGGCCAAAACAGTTTTCTTTGGTATTTTTCGAATTAAGAACAACAAAACAACAAGCATGCAAGCCTCAAAACGAAAATGGTATAGACTTTACCTTCTGTTACTTTCGAGAATCTTGAAAAATGTTTCGGTTTCAACCCGATATTGCTCGTAGTTTTTGTGTAATCTGTGTTTTGTATTCCGTATCAACCGTCCCCTTTAACCATGAGATTACATGATTATTTATACAAAAAAATGCATGTTATTTTTAGCCTAGTTTGAGTCCTAATCAAACTCTAACTCTCATTGTTTGCTTGTGGGGGGTTGTTGATGGTTGCCGTGAAATCCGGTGACGGTTGCGTGCGTGGCCAGAGACGTTGGGCGTGGGGACTTGCTGGCTTGGTTCTGGAAATGGCACTGGACGAGAAACTGTTAGGGTTTGGGAACCCTAGTTGATCTGTGTTGGGTCTGGCACATGTGGGCTTGGTTGTTGTGTAACGGGCTTTGCTTTCTTATTTAGGCTTGTAAAGAAGAGAAAAAATAACAAATAAATTATATATATATAATTTTTTTATGTAAGGACGAAAAATGTGCGTCTACAGCTGCCCCTCTTTGCTCATTATCGTGTAACAAAAATAGAGCAAAGATTAAAAGACACATATTTCGTCCACATCGACTATCCTCAGTCGTAGAGTTGAAACCCGATGCTGAAACTGGTTTGTCAATCACGAAATGACTCCCTCGTCGTGAGGTTGAGTCAAAACTGGAATATTTCGAGCACGAAATCCTTCGTCGTGAAGTTGAAAACGAGTTCAAAGCTTTTGGTAAGTGGCCTCTGAACCGTCTTCTGGCTCAAGATACTTCATCGCGAAAGTGAAACTTGACCTGAAGACTTTGGTGTTGGGGTGTTACAGATGACTCCTTCGTCGTGAAGTTGGGTCAATCTGTTTGTGAAGTTGGAATTGTATATGGCCCCTTCGTCGTGAGGTTGAGCCTGGGAATTGGATATCCTTCATCGTGAAGTTGAAATCCAAGTGAGTAGTATTGTTCCGAGTCCAATATCCTCCGCCGTGAAGTTGAAATTGATTCTGGAACTGGGAAATTGTTTGTTGACAACCAACCGTCCCTTCGTTGTGAAGTTGAACTTGTGTGGTCTAGAGTCCAATATCATTCGTTGTGAAGTTGAAATTGGCTCTGAAATTGAGAAATGTTTGTTGACAACCAGCGGTCCCTTCGTCGTGAAGTTGAACTTGCGTTGTCTGTAGTCCAATATCCTTCATTGTGAAGTTGAAATTGGCTCTGAAATTGAGAGATGTTTGTTGACAACCAGCGATCCCTTCGTCGTGAAGTTGAACTTGCGTTGTCTGGAATCCAATATCCTTCGTTGTGAAGTTGAAATTGGCTCTGAAATTGAGAAATGTTTGTTGACAACCAGCGGTCCCTTCGTCGTGAAGTTGAACTTGCGTTGTCTGGAGTCCAATATCCTTCGTTGTGAAGTTGAAATTGACTCTGGGTAGGACCTGCAAAGATATGCATATATGCGATGTTATGGATGTCATGCTCTTAGGTATGCCTAAAATGTATATGCAACATATGTTATCCTGGGCTCTGGAGAGAAATCTCGATCTCCGGTGGCCTGTTGTTGTTGACTCTTGATTTTGAAAGCTTGAAGTTTCGATTTCTGATCTTGAATTCTTCAAATGTTTAAATCTGATGTGCACATTCTGTTTTTTTCTTGATTTGGGAGATGCTCCTCAACCATCTCAAGTATGTGCATGAGCCTTGATCGGCTTCTGGGTACCTGTACTTTTCAATGAATCCTTGTACAGTAATATGCGATTATCTTTTCACCAAAAATAAATAAATCATTAGGTTTAAATCTAATTCAAGATGCTCGAGAGGAAAGATTGTCTTTATTCATAAGGGAGGAGAAAAACAAATAATACATGGCAAACATTCTAGAAAACGATGTGTAAATGAACGTCTTAGATCTCGATAATGTGGGCACTTCTGAGCTGAAAAGTCGTTTGGTGACCTTGAATGCAGCCTTTGCCAAAGGATTTTTGAAAATGCGACAACGTTTGGGAGAGTGCGACATTTCTCCGATTTGTTGGGTTCGTAGAAGATTCATGTGTCGGGATGTTTCCACTGTTAATATCCAAATCGCCCTTTCCGGGTTTTCAACTTGGACTCATCCTTGGTTGCAAGACGCCCTTTGCGGGTTTTCATCTTGAACCCACCTTATTTTCTCTTCTTTTGTTCTCTTTTTCCTCTTTTTCTTTTTCTTTTCTCAATTTAGGGCGCCCTTTCGGGTTTTCACCCTAAACGTTCTTTTCTTCTTCTTCTTCTTTTTTCAACTTAGGACGCCCTCTCTGGTTTTCATCCTAAGCGAAGTATTTCTTGACTGCGTTCGAGTTAATGGGATGTGGCAGTTCAGGTCCGTCTATTTCAGCCAGGATGAGGGCTCCTCCGGAGAAAGCCTTTTTCACGACATAAGGTCCTTCCCAATTTGGCGTCCATTTTCCTCGGAAATCTTTCTGGACTGGCCAAATTCTTTTTAGCATCAGATCTCCCTCGCGGAATATTCTTGGGCGCACCTTTTTGTCATGTGCTCGGATCATTCGTTTCTGATAGATTTGACCATGATGAATGGCTTTCAGTCTTTTTTCATCTATCAGATTAAGCTGATCATATCTGGATTGTGCCCACTATGCATCATCCAGTTTGACTTCTGACAAGACCCTGAGAGACGGAATCTCGACTTCAATGGGTAGCACTGCTTTCATTCCATAGGCTAATGAAAATGGAGTTGCCCCAGTCGAAGTTCGTACCGAGGTTCGATAAGCGAACAAAGCAAAAGGCAACTTCTCATGCCAGTCTTTGTAAGTTTCAGTCGTTTTCTCCACTATCTTCTTAATGTTTTTGTTTGCTGCTTCTACTGCTCCGTTCATCTTTGGTCTGTAAGCAGTGGAATTGTGATTTTTATGTTGAACTGTTCGCAAGCAGCACTCATCATCTTGTTGT